TCATGACCTGAGCCGAAGGCAGCCGCTTAACCGACTGAGCCACCCAGGCACCCCTCTTAAGTCTTTTTTATCTATAGGTGCTCCCCACCCCTGCCCAGCACCCTGTCCCCTCACCATCTCTCTCCTTTTTTCCTCAGAATTTATTTGTGGAGGAGACCTGGTTGTTTGCCCTCTCAAGTTCTCCACCATCTGGGTTTTGCTGTTAGCATCACTGTGGTGTCATTTAATATGCTCCTCTGTTCCCTGCCAGTAAATTGGTCCCGGGGAAGGGCTTGCACAGGGCTCAGATTGTTTGCGGGAGCTGTCTTTCTGTGATGTGAGGAACACCCAGAGGGTGTGTTGGGGAGCTAGACTAGGCGGAGGCTGGGCAGTGACCCTGGGGAAGGAGCCAATTTTGGCCTGAGCTGTGGGATGGAAGAGTCAGGAGGAAAGAGGAGCTCGGGAGTCCAAATGGTTGTCTGCCTGGCTTTGGGGGAAGCTAGTCAGGGGGAGGGAGAGCCGGGGCCGGGGGCAAGGGGGGGAAGAGGAGGAGGAGGAAGAAGAAGAAGAGGGGGAAGAGGAAAAAGAGGAGGGAGAAGAGGAAGAGACACAAGTATCTCTTTTTGGGGGTGCCTGGGTGGCTCAGTCGTTAGGCGTCTGCCTTCAGCTCAGGTCATGATCTCAGGTCCTGGGATCGAGCCCCACATCGGGCTCCCGGCTCGGCAGGGAAGCCTGTTTGTCCCTCTCCCACTCCCCCTGCTTGTGTTCCCTCTCTCGTTGTGTCTCTCTCTGTCAAATGGATAAATAAAATTAAAAAAAAACAACAAACAAAAAAAACACAAATCTCTCTTTTTTTTTTTTTAGCACCACAGAAAATAGGCTTATTTTTTATTTTAGGGATCATGGAAATTTTTTCCTAATTTCTTATCATGAAAACTCTTAAAACTCTAGAAAACTTGAATAGTGCAATGATCACCACCAGTGAGATTCAAGAGTTAACATTTTTTTTTTTGCTAAATATGCTTTATCTATATATGGATAAATAAATACACATACTTCTCTCTCTCTTTTCTCAACTATTTGAAAGTAAGTTGCAGACATCTTGATACTTCATCCCTCCACGTGTCAGCGTGCATCTCCTAGAAATGACAGTCCTTCCATGCCGATTAGGACTGCTGACAGAATAAACAGAAATGGACAAGTCCTTGGCAAACATGAGCTTCTGTTATTTATGGGGGGCCAGGCCTGGCGCTGGCTCTGTCACACTCCCTCTCACTTGACCCTCAGTAGTCGTGCATCTCGGTACTTTATAGACAAGGAGATAGGCTCAGAGAGGCAAAGTGACTCATCCAAGGTCACGCAACTCAGGAGTGTGACAGTCATGCTGGAGCTGGACTGGAACCCAGGCCCATGTGGTTCTTCCCGCTGTGTCCACTGCCGCCCTTCGACAGGCAGGCCCCTTGGAAGGGACCCTTCCTAGTTTTGGCGAGGAGGCTGTGTATTTGAGGAAGAAATTTGTACAGTGCTCTCTATGTTTGTGAGCCAAGGCACAGAGAGATGAAAGGACTTGCTCAAGGTCGTCCCAGCCCCTGTCTGGCTCCTTATCCTCGTCTATCCTCCGGGCACCCTCTGCTGCCCCTAGTTAGACACGGAGCAGGCAAAGTGGCTCCTCTAGGGATTCTGCCTGTTCATCCGGACATGAGAATTATTCCAGAGGGACAGGCTGCAGCTGGAAAGAGTGGGGCCACTGTAGTCCACAGAACAGTGTAGAACCCTGGCTCTGTTGCCTTTTAGTCGGGTGACCTTGGGCAGATGGCTTACCCGCTCTGATGTTCAATCCCCCTAAACCTACCTGGCAAGCTAATCTGGAGGCTCTAATGAGGTAATGCACGGTGCTTGGCACGGAGTAGGCTCGGCACAGAGTAGGCGTTCTTTAGATGTTTCCGTTTTCCTTCCCACCCTCTGTTTATAACCCCTTGCACTTAGTAGGCATTCAAAAGATGTGGAGTGCATTGATCCAGTAGGCCACTATTTATGGAGGACCTACCCTGTGCCGTGTGCTAGGCCTTGAAGCGTCAATGGGGAGCAGGACAGATGTGATCCTGGCCCCAGTGGAGTTTAAGGGTTGTGGGGGAGACAGAGGTGCATCTGTTGGAAGAAATGTCAGGAGGGTGAATCTTATCGAGTGACAGAGGGGCAGGGCAGGTTCCCTGAGGAGGGGACTGTCGAGCCTCAAGCAAAGAGAAGCTTGAACATTCACTGGACAAGGGAGAGATGAATGAAATCGTGCCACTTCTCTCAGCCTCCGCCTCCCCACCTGTAAAATGAGGTGCTAATGCTGTCTCGCCAGCTTGCCTTGAGGACTCAGTGACATTGCCGATGTGAACATGGTCTGTAAGCCATGACATTGCCCTGCCAGTTCCCGCAGCAGAGGCCCTACAAGTATCTGGGGCCCCTCTTCCTTCCCTCTCTCCCTTCTGGAAGGCCCACCTCCTGCTTTTCTCTCCCCAGTGTCGGACAAGTGGTGAATATCAAGGCCAAGGTGAACCGGGCCTTCAACTCCAGCATGGAGGTGTGTGGGGTCGTTGCTGCCTGGTGGTGGGTAGCGGGGTGGCTGGGGTTTCTACCTCCTCTCCCTTCTCCACCCCAGCCTGGGCACACTCACACTCACAGGGCCCTGGTGGAGGCAGCAGAGTTCAGGAACAGCTGGCCGGGCTGGGAGGATCCTAAGGCTCTTCCTGTCCAATACCCCATAACACAGAAGGGAAAACTGAGGCCCAGGGAGGGGAAGAGACTTGCCCCAGGTCACCAGGTCACATAGATTCCAACCTGAGACTTGACTCTCAGCCTCCTCGGTCTTCACATCTCACCTCAGACCCTCTTCAGCAGCAGGTGGTCATGGGAAAGCGGGGAAGACGGCCGCTGGGCCTGACCCTGGAGGCAGCAGGGCTGGAGCAGAGAGAGCCTGGACTTCAGTGCATTAGCTTACCTCCCACAGCCTCTGTCTTCCCATCGGTGAAACGGGAGCATGATTCCTGTGCTGCGGGGTTCTTAAGTGAGCCCTGTGAGCTCTGGGGGAGAGACTCTCTTTCCCACCTGTGGATGGCAGTCCCGGGCAGCTTCCCCTAGCCGGGCCGCTGGTTACTGAGGGGCCACTGAGGCTGGGAGGGCAGAGTCCTGACTGCCTCTGGGTACCCTCTGGACACCCCCCCAGATGTCTGTCTTTTCAGTGTAGCCAACATTTTACCTACTTTAAGTCCTTTCCTAGATACAGTCTCATTTTCATTCTCTCCTAGGTATGATCATTCCCATTTCTTTCATTCATTCATTCATTCATTCATTCATTCATTCATTCATTCATATTTTAAGTAGGCTCCATGCCCAATGTGGGGCTTGAACTCACAACCCTGAGATTAAGAGTCACACACTCTATCCACTGAGCCAGCCAGGCGCCCTGTGCTCACTCCCATTTTATAGATGAGGAAACCAAGGACCACAGAAGGGAAGTGACTTGCCCAAGGCTTTCCAGGGATCCTGGGGTAGAATCAGAACCTGTCTCAGGTTTCTGGCCTCCTAGACTCAGTAGGTGATACAGAAACATGAGGCCTGGCCTGGGGCGGGCCTTCCTGTCTCATGGATTGTGGAGCCTCAGGTTGGGACCTCCATTTCTCCCCTCCTCACTCCTCCTACCTTTTCTTCCTGTCCAGGTGGGCATCCAGGTGGCCTCTGAGGACCTGTGCTCTGAGAAGCAGTGGAGTGTGTGCAAGGCCTTGGCCACCTTTGTGGCCTACCGGGAGCTCTCCAAGGTAGGGGGCTACACCTGGCCGCTCCACGCTGCTGGGCCACCTGGCTGCTTGTCATGGCAGGCCAGGACCAGGGTGATGAGGCTGGGGGTTAGTGGAGGGGTGGAGGTGGGGGAGCTTCAGGGAATTCACAGAGGAAGCTCCCCCCAGCTGGCACTTTCCCTCGCTCCTCTTCTCCACCTCTCCGTGTGCATCTCGTGGGATTCTTCAGATCTCACCATTCCCTTACGTGTCGTAGAGACCCCGCCCCCGCATCTTCTGTGCCTTTGCCCAAGAAAGGGGTCTGGGGACATTTGGAGAACAAAAGTGATATATCAGTCCACTTGGAGACAGAAGATGGGGACAAAGAGGGGACGAAGACTTGTAACCATCCAGCAGCAGCCCCAGGTGTGCGATGAGGCACAGCCCCTCCTGCTGCCTCAGGAAACCTGTCCCAAGCATCCCCCCATGACACCCCTGCCGCAGGTGAAGCTGAAGCAGACCACGCCACGGACGGAGGAGGAGAAGACGGAGCACAGCGTGGCAGCTGAGCGCCGGCGCATGCGGTTGCTCTACGCGGACACCATCAAGGACCTCCTGGCCAACTGCGCCATTCAGGATGGTGAGCGGCCGTGGGTGCGGGGGGCAGCTGACATCCCGCATGCCCCCGTCTGTCCTCGGCCCCCGCTGGGCCGTCGGAGGAAGGAGACTCCCACGCACTGGCCTGATGGCCCTCTCGTCTCAAGGTCTCCTTCAGGGCAGGGCATGCTTGGGCCTCTTGCTCAGCTCCCAGGAGCTGTGAAGACGGAATTAGGACATGAGGAAAACCCTTTGTTGTCCACAGAGTGTATTTGGATGTTTAGGATTCAGGGTATTTGGGAAGGTACTATTGAGCATGGCCTTGAAGACTATAGGATTTTTTAAAAAGCATATATATGTGTGTGTGTGTGTGTGTACACATATATACATATATATGCACACATATATACATATAGATATATGCACACATACATAAATAATATAGATATAGATATACATATAGAATAAAAACCGCAAGACTCTCTCTTACCCAGAACCCGGGCCTCCTCCAGTTACTCATTTTTGGGCACCTTTCCAGAAGATTCCCTGCATATTTAAATATACTATGTATTATTTAGCCCTCTCTTTTTACCCAAAAGGGAGCATACAGTACATACTGTTCTATATCTTACTTCTTTCCGCTTAAAGGTACATCTTGGAGATTGTTCTATACCAGCACACACAGATCTCCTGTGGACTGGTAGGATTTTGACAGATGGAAAGATAAGGAAAAGTTTTTCTTGATGGAAAACACAGGCTGGGCAAAGGCCCAGAGGGGTAACCTTGGATTCACTCACCGATCTCCAGAGCCGTAGGATGTGGAGTCTTCCTTGAACCCTAGAGGAGGCAATTGTAGGACAATTCAAATGTAGTTCAGCTGCCCAGAGTGGGAGAAAGCAGGTGGGAGCAGTTGGCCCCAGTGAAGCAGCGAAAGGGGCTCCCAGTTCCGTGTACCTTATGTATACGGAGTCTGGGGGCTGTGGCTGAGGAGGCCCGGTTCTTCCTACTGTCTTTGAGATCCCCCCCCTAGAGCCATCCATCCACTGCAGCCTCCAAATCCCTGTTGTCCTGACAGCCCTTCCACCCAAGGGTTAGTCCAAATGCCTTAGCGTGGCATCCGGGCCCTTGGCTGGCTACTCAGCTTTACCTGGTTCTGACCTTTTACTTGCCCTTGGCTCCACCTAAACCAAGGCCTCGTTGCTTCCTGTGACTGTCCTACCTGTCCTGTCTCCAGATCTCAGCTCGGGCCCCCCCTCCACCTCCCCTCCTGCCTGTCTGTGGCATCTTGGAGCAGCCTGTAAGCCAAGTGAAAGGCCACCTCTCTGATGGGCCCTCCCTGATGAGGTCTCTCTTCCTGGTCGGTGGGAGATAGACTGCACCTCCTTGGGTTGGGGGGTCATATCAGCATCTGCTCCTCTGACCCCTACAGCCCTGTCCACTCTTGGGCCTCTCCTACTGAGGATCTCCTGATGCCATTCCCCTGAGGGACAGGGCCTGTCAGGGCAGAGAGAGGGAAGAACTATCGTTTTGAGAGTCTGTCTCCTATGTTTGGTGCCAAGCACTCTAGAATCACGATCACACTTCATCTTCACAATCCAATGGGTTGGGTCTGACATCTGCCCTTCACCAATGAGGAAACTGAGGGTCAGAGGGTCAGGTTCCCTGACTGCCTGTCGTACAACCTGTGTAGGGTGGTTCTGGGGTTCAGACCAGGTGTGTCTTCTCTGTAGGTGGGTGTCCCGCCCATTGCCCCGTGACAGCCTCACCTCGCTCAGCCCGAGTCCCCCTTCTCCTCACTCTCAGTGCTGAGTCAATACAAGAATCTGGGTGACCGGGAATGCTGGTGGCGGGGAGGGGGGGTCCCTGGGTTTGCCCCGTGGGAGGGTCTGCCCTTGGGAACCTCTCCGCTTCCCACCTCCCTCCCTCTGCCCTTCCCGGGTCAGATCTGGAAAGCAGGGACTGCAGCTGCATGGTGCCGGCCGAGAAGACCCGTGTGGAGAGCGTGGAGCTGGTCCTGCCTCCTCATGCCAATCACCAAGGCAATACCTTTGGGGGTCAGATCATGGCCTGGATGGAGAACGTGGCCACCATCGCAGCCAGGTGAGGGGAGAGCTCACTGTCTCTGCCTCCCCTCCTTTCTCTCCCTCTTTCCCTTGGCCCGCTCCTCCTGGGGGAGAAACCCCAGCTTGGTGTTGGCGTTCAAGGCTTCAGGAGCTTGGCTGTTCTGTTAGGGAAACCTAGGGCTTTCAGACCCAGAGAGCCAGAGAGGAGTGATTTTTCCTTGAGCTGGCCGTTCCCTCGGCGCAGTCCTCATCACCTGCGTGGGAAATGCCACCTCCCTGGCCCTGCACTGTAGCCTCCCATTGACCTGGCCCTGCCTGCTTTCTTCCTGTATCTTATGCTCCCCGTACCTCAAGCCATTTGCCTTTCCCATTCCTGTCCTCTGGGTTGCCATTTTGGGCAGGGGAGAGGCTGGTCCAGGCCTGGGGCGGAAGCACTGGGGCATTTGTCCTGTCTCTCCGACCCCTGCCTCCTCCAGCCGCCTGTGCCGCGCCCACCCTACGCTGAAGGCCATTGAGATGTTCCACTTCCGGGGCCCCTCCCAGGTCGGGGACCGCCTAGTGCTCAAGGCCATCGTGAACAACGCCTTCAAACATAGGTAAGAAGTGGGACCAGGGCCCCCTGGGATTGAGGGCTCTTCCTGACCCAACTGCAAAGCTGCCAGGAACCCTTTCCCCTGCAGATGAGGCCCATGAGGTCTAAACCCTGCCCAGCTGCAGGGCGCCTTCACCGTGACCGAGATGCAGCTCTGCCCTTCCCTCCTCTGGGCTCCCCAGCCCCGTGGCTCCTGTGGTCTCAGAGCAGACCCTATGCTCGGCGTGTCTCTGTCTCTCTTCCCGTCTCCTGCCTCTGGGCCTGGTGCACTGTGCGTGCTCACATCATAGGGCTCCCTCTTGTTCCATCATTTATCAAATCCTTCCCTTTCTCCTAAAACAACAATTCGTTCCCGGAGCCCTTAATTTGGAATGAAACCTAATACCTCCGAGAAAGCTTACTTTAAATATGTATCTTTGTTGGTGATTTCAAAGATCATAATGTAATTGTTAAAAGTGAGGGAGCCACGGGGCACCTGGGTGGCTCAGTCCATTAAGCGTCTGCCTTCGGCTCAGGTCATGATCCCAGGGTCCTGGGATTGAGCCCCACGTTGGGCTCCCTGCTCAGGGGGGAGTGTGCTTCTCCCTCTCCCTCTGCCCTTCCCCCTGTTCATGCTCTCTCTCTCAAATAAATAAATAAAATCTTTAAAAAGAAAAGTGAGGGAACCAGGCTCCCTGGGTTCAAGTTTGGCTCACCTTTTACTGGGTGTGTGGCTTTAGGCAAGTTCCTCAACATCTCTGAGTTTCAGGGTTTTTTTTTATAGCTGTACTCTTTATTTGTTTATTTATTTATTTCAGGGAGAGAGAGAGAGAGCGAGCCTGTGAACAGGGGTGGGGGTCAGGGGAGGACCAGAGGCAGAGGGAGAGAGAGAATCACAAGCAGGCTCCGCGGTCAGTATGCAGTCCCACACGGGGCTCCATCCCACGACCCTGAGATCATGACCTGAGCCAAAATCAAGAGTCAGACGCTCAACTGACTGAGCCACCCAGGCGTCCCACTCGAGCTTCAGCTCTTTTGCCCGTAAAATGGGGCTCACCACAACAACATCATAGTTGTGAGGATTCAGTGAGGTCTTACTGGTAGCCTGCCAGGGGAAACTGTGCAGTGCAGGATTATTATTACTGTTATGGTCATCACTCAGTCTGCCGCTGTGCGGGGGGAAGGGAGGGGACGCCCTGAACTAGGAACTGCAAGGCCCCCCTTCCAGCTCGGCTTCCCTTCCTGGCTGCTGTGTGACCTTGGCCCAGTGACTGTCCTGTTCTAGGTCTTTGTTCCCCCTCCACAGAACGTCCACATGCTGGGATCATAGAGCTTCCTAAGCGAGGGGGGTGGGTGAGGGTGGCTGCTTTTTATAATTCATGAAGATGGATATATAGAAATAGCAGCAACTGAGCTGTCAGGAGCACGGCTGTTAGAGCTTTGTGAAGATGTGCGTAAGGGACATTTTTCCAAGTAGGCTCTGCACCCCCACCTTCATGCTCATGTCCTTCCAGAATCCTTTGCAGTTTACATTGCATATTATATACATATATGTACACATATGTGTATATTCTTATGTGTACATATTATATACATATATTACATATAATATATACATATATATGTACATACGTGTGTGTGTGTGTACACACTTCTTTATTGCCCCATTCCCTAGCTGTTAGCCCATGAGCTCATGGACCGACCCAGTTTATTCACTTCTGTGCGCCCAGTGACTAGCATAGGGCCAGACATGTAGTGGGTGCTCTGTAAACACTGATGAAAGGGAACAGTTCTGGGTTTCCTACCAGAGGGATTCTGATCCGGGCTGCTGGGAGAGCTGCAGGAGTGTGCGTGTGTGCTGGGGAGTGGGCACGGGCTCAGGAAGGTCCGTCCAGCATGGGAGCGGCCGTCCCTGTCCTTCAGCATGGAGGTGGGCGTGTGCGTGGAGGCTTACCGCCAGGAGGCTGAGACCCATCGGCGGCACATCAACAGTGCCTTCATGACCTTCGTGGTCCTGGGCGCGGATGAGCAGCCTCGGACACTGCCCTGGATTCGGCCCCAGCCTGGGGTGAGTGGCACCCTGCCCCATCACCAGCTCCCCTCCCTCCCTGCCCAGGGGTGGTGGGGCCTGCTAGCCCCTGACACAGCCGGGGAGTGACGGGCTCAGCCCTGCTCCTCTGTCGGGGCACAGCCAGCTCGCAGTGCCCCATGGCCCCCAGAGATGCCCCTTGTGCTAGGCAGGCACCTTGGTCTGCCTGGAAGAACTCGGCCCCATGTATGGGTCTAGCTCAGTTAGGTGCCTCCCAGGGGGGAGAATTGGCTGGGAAAAGCCCGCATTCCGCAGCTGGGCATTGGCGGGGACGGGGTTGGGGGAGGGGGGGGCCCGACAGACGAGGGGCGGTGAACAGTCCACAAGGGCCTCTCAGCCTGTGCCGGTTAATGTTCATGAGTGGGGAGACATCAGAAGCACACTGGTTAAGAGGGTGGGGTCCGGGTCAGGCCGTCAGGGTTCTGTTCCTGGCCCCACTCCTTACCCCTGCGACCTTGGGTAGGCCACTCACCTTTCTGTGCCTCGGTTTCCTCCTCTGTAAAATGGGGCTCATATGAGTACCAACTTGAGAGGGTTGTAGCGAGGCTTGACATTCTGCACGGAGGGCACTTTAGAAGAGTGCCTGGTAGCAGCAAGTGCCCAGGAAATGTGGGTTCTTACTAGCACTGTCTGTGCAGAGGAGGATGTCGAGGTCCAGTGAGGGCAGGTGGTGTTCCCAGAGTCACTCAGAGAGTCTGGGGGAAGCTGGGGCTGGAGCTCAGAGACTCGGCCCTTTCCTGTCTGAGCGGCTTTGCCTCAGGCTACCCCCGTGAGACCTGAGCTCCACATCAGGGCTGCAGGGCCTCCTCGGGCCTTGGGGGGCAGACAGTAACACAGGAGTGGGAGTGGGGAGCAGGGCACAAGCAACTCGTCTGGCCCGCACCACAGTCTGTCCCTGCGTCTCTCCCCAGGATGGCGAGCGGCGCTACCGAGAGGCTAGTGCCAGGAAGAAGATCCGACTGGACAGGCGAGTGCGGGTTGGGTGATGGGAGGGGACACGGGTTCAGGGCTGTCCACCTGCTCCCCAGGCCCCAGGGACCACCATTTCTTCAGTGCCGTCCCTGGGTTGGGCACTGGGCTGGGCCCTTTACTTCCACGCAGCCTCTCTACCCGGGGGTCTTCCTGGCCCCTTATCCAGGTGAGGACACTGAGCACAGAGGCATGAGGCAGCCATGGGCACACAGATATAGGAATGATGGGCAGAGTGCAAATTTGAACCTGGTGGGGTCCGGCCACTTCTGAATCCTGGGTTCCTTCCGTTGACCCTGATGTGTGTTGGGCAGACGAAGAAAGGTCCCTAGAGAAGAGGCAGTTGCTCAAGACACACAGCTGGGTGTGACCCATTGCTGCCGAAGCACTTTCCAGAGCGGAAAGTGCTGGAAGTACACTGAGGTTTGCTCTCTGTGCGGATAGGAAAAGTGTGCATCTCCGGAGCACTTATCATAGGCCGACCCCCGTCCTCATGACGACCCCACGAGGCAGATGCAACACCCAATCCCACTGTTGAGAAGAGGCCGCTGAGGCACCGGGACAAAGCTGCTTTAGCCAGAGTCAACCGCTCAGGGAGGGCGTGGGGACCGAGCCTTTCCCCGGCACCCTGCCCCTGGCCTTGCTTTGCTTCTGAATGAGTTTGTATGCTCTCAGCTCCCATTTTCTGGGTGCCCAGCCCGTCTCCATGGCCAGACAGGAGTCCCTCCCCCACTGCTGGGCTGAGCACCCGGAGCGAAGTCTTCTGAAAGACGTGGGCTCCCCAGGGACCATGGTTGTCCTCTTCCCTCCCCCAGGAAGTACATCGTGTCCTGTAAACAGGCAGAAATGCCCCTCTCTGTCCCCTGGGACCCTAGCAACCAGGTAAGGCCTTCTGCTCTGAGGGGACAGTCCACCGGCCCATGTTGGGACCGGGGAGGGGGTACCCTGACTCTGCATTCTTGTCAGAATGGGTTTGGGAGTAGGCCTAAAGGGGACAGGATACTGTGTCATGACTCAAGATTAGTACAGTTAGCAAGGGGCTTTCCTCGGTCCCCGTTTGGCAGGAGGGAGCTGAGGCCCCGAGATGAGCATCACACAGCAAGTCTGCCCGAGGCGGGGCCTCCTGTCCCAAAGCCCAGGGCCCGGCCCCCACCCCCCTTCACAGCCCAATGTCCTCTCCCCCGGTCCAGCGTGGCCTGGCCCAGAGCCCCTGAGGAAGGGGAGAAGGTGAGGCTTCTCTGTGTGTTCTGGTCCAGGTGTACCTGAGCTACAACAATGTCTCCTCCCTGAAGATGCTCGTGGCCAAGGACAACTGGGTGCTGTCTTCGGAGGTCAACCAGGTAGCTGACCCCACCCAGCAGCAGAGGTGGCTGATCTCAAGCAACAGAAGTTCTCTCAACCACTCATGTCAAAAGGGGATTTCTTTTTTTTAAAATATTTTATTTATTTATTTGAGAGAGAGAGAGTAGGTTGAGAGAGAGCGAGCACATGAGTGGGGATGAGGGGCAGAGGGAGAGGGAGAAGCTCCCACAGGACCTGGAGTGGAGAACCCCCAAATCCTTCTCTCCTGCCCACCCACCATCTGGCCCCCAACCCCTCATCTCTACTGTTCTCTGCCCTGCTGCTTCCTCCCTGCAGAGCTAGGGCCAATGGACAAGCCTGGGTTGAGGGAAGACGTGAGCTCTGCCTGTGCCCTGGGGAGAGTCACTTCCCCCACCTGTGACATTAGGGGCTTTAACAGGCGCCTGGCTCTGAGGACCCGTTCCATTGTTGCCTTAGTCACTGCTTCCTACTGCACCCTCCTGTCCCCCTGCGCCGAATTCTCTCAGCAGCCCCTTTTCATGGGGATGGGACTGAGGCTCAGAGAGGTTGAGTCACTTTTTCACAGTCACACAGCAAGTCAGTGGCAGCCCGGAGCTGCCAGCCGCGGGCCTCCAGCATCTGAGTCAGCCCAGTCCATCACCCGGCATGGCCTGGGGACGGGGCACGGCATGAGGCTGCCCTCCGTCCCCTGCAGGTCCGCCTGTACACTCTGGAGGAAGACAAGTTCCTCTCCTTCCACATGGAGATGTCAGTGCACGTGGACACCACCCAGGCCTTCCTGCTGCTCTCGGACCTGCTTCGGAGGCCCGAGTGGGACAAGCACTACCGGTGAGGGCCAAGGTGCCAACGGGGCAGGGTGCTTTGCTCAGGTCTGGTGGGGAAGCTGGGCCCTCAGGTGTCCCTTGCTGAGCATCCCCCATTATGCTCAGCCCCTCCTAGCCGGCTAAAGCCGGGCATGGGGGGGAGGGTGGTGTGGGGGTAATTGTAGTTATGTGTTGGGTGGGTGTCAGAGTCAAGGGCATTCTGAGCCCTCGGGGAAGGGACTGAGCCTGGAGTTGGAGTTGGAGCCTGGGTTTAAGTCCTGTTTCTAGGGGCGCCTGGGTGGCTCAGTCATTAAGTGTCTGCCTTCGGCTCAGGTCATGATCTCAGGGTCCTGGGATCGAGCCCCGCATCGGGCTCCCTGCTC